AACTTCACGTGCATATGTATACCTTCATGACATGTATGTGTACCAAATTTGAATGAAATCCATCAAAGTGTGTCTGAAATATGACGATGCACGCACGCACACACACACGCACGCACGCACGCACGCACATAACCAAAAACACTACTTCCCGTTTCGGACTACCGTCCGAACGGGAACTAATCATAGAAGATTTGGCGAAAAACGATCGTTTTTGACATCGTATTTCCGCTCGGAAACACAAGAGCGATAAGACTCAATTTTCAAGTACGCAGGTTGTTTGGATCGGACTGTTTTGTTTTGTTTCGAGTTCGTTGCGAGTCGAGAAACATAACGTTGTTTTTAGTGAATATAGAATAGGTTCTGTTTCAATACAGGATTTTGATATGCCAATCGGGTAATTTCTTACTTTAGCGTCCTCTGTATAAATAGTCCTCTACTCTCAAAATTGACAATGGTAGTAGCCCAGAATGAACTCCCTGTTAAGGTGGAAGCCTACTCATCATTTTTGAGAAAGTTGGTCATAAATCGCATGACAATGTTCATTGGTTTATTATGTAAAATTATGTAAAATCGTGGAGCTATTGGCCCTTGGCACCATAAAATAGCATTCTTTTGTGTGTTACAGTGACCTATTTTGAGAAACTTGTCCTAATATTTTTCAAAAATACCTATTTTTAGAACAATTCCATAGAGCGCAATGTTAAACAAAAACTGCATTTTTCAACACTTTTTAAAACCCATAAAACAAAAAGTATCCCATCAATAACAATATATTATTTTTTTCAGTCTGTCACCAGCCTACAAATTGAGATATGGCATAGTATCCCTGTCATAGAAACCTATGGTAAAAGCACTATAATTCTGTCAAAATGGCCGTTATCCTTCCCAAACTTCTTTAATTCAATATTCTTATATTGCCAAGAAGTACAATTTATTAAAAAATGAATAAATTCTGGGTATTTGAAATCATTAGTAGGCTTCTACCTTAAGTGCGTCTTTGATTGCAGCAGTACCTTTCATGGTTGTAGCAATGTTTACGCCACTGTACGAAAATAGGCACACTCGCAAATTTAAAAACATTCACTTGAGTGTTTTAGGATAGTGGGAATAGAAGCAAATAGATGGAAATACAAGTTACAACACTCAATAAGATTGATGATTTTATTGCATATTTCTATGCAATAGGTCCACACTTGTGATTCTCAATTTTGATGTGTAAAATCATATCGCTGCTGTGGACGGCGACGACTGACAGATTGTTTTGGTTCTGTGGCTCTCTTAGCATGAACTGATTTTTAGGTTTTTTTTTGGTTTTTTATTCTGACGTTTACTTGGTCGTATTTTGTATATACCAGTCAGACACTGACAACAAGTAAGTAAACGGGCCGGGCATAGTCATCATGAGACTCTGAAGGCCCCGGACAAGAACACAAAACAAACTGACAACAATCGAAAAAACATTATACAGTCACTGTAGTCACATCAGTAAGAAAGGGATAAAGTGGAACTCGTGGCAAATGTAAATACAAAATAAATGTAGTGAATATAATATTCATAAAAAAAAATTGCAGTTTTCAGCCTCCATGGACAAGTTCGCAATCTCTAATATTGCAAAACTGTCAGTTGTGAACTGAACTTTAGATCTCATTAGAATTTCCACATAAAGTTAAACAGATAAAAAAAAATGCAATATTAAGGCCAGGAAAAATAATGCTTTTTTGTCAAGGCTATATACTATATTCTCTTATTTGGGGGGAGGGGGTATTTTTGTGAGTGTACATGTATGCATTACAATTATCAAAACTCCAGTCAATTGTAATCATAGTACAAATGTGATGTAAACAAAATTGGTGATGGGAATTGCCAGTTTATAAAAGAGTGAACAATATTACTGACCGCGGAAGACGCCCATCGTAAAGTGTCTTGTCTGTAAATGACAAGTAAATAAAGTTAATGATCTTGTAATTGTGAATACCAATCTTCAAATTTTAACCTGGGTTGCAAAATCTGGAATTTATTTGGGAATAGAAAGAAATCAATCACACGAGAGTCGGTAAATAAAACTTGGATAATACGGTTTATTAAAGTGAATTGATGTCACTGGAAATAATGACAAATATATTAAAATAAATAGAATTATTTTATATAATGTGTAAACAGATAATCAGAGCGTACTCCAGTTAATTCCACTTCCCGGACAGCGTTATGTTGTTCATCATCCACTTCTGTGAATTCTTCCCGTCACATTCGTTCAAAACAGGCGATGGTATGCGTTTCTCCGTCATAAGGCGCTCTAAGCATTTGCCCGTGGACTTGTGAATGAAAGTCATCCCCTACAAACAGACATATTGCAGAATGTGAATCGGATTTTATGTTATAACTAAAGTTCAACAGTCGTCTGTTAGCTTTCAAAGTTCATCTATGTCAAAGTGTGCATTTATGTGTATAGTTTAATTGTATAGTAGGAACTTGAATAAATCCTAGATAGTCCATAGACCCTCCAGTAGAGGGTCTAAATACACACGTATTTAGATTTTAATAGCAGACTATGCGCTGTTCAATTTAGCTTAGTGTTAAATACATATATTCGCACTCACTGGGACTGTTAATAGCCAATGTACCAAACCTTGTATGTCTACATCGTGTGTCGGCTGGCACGTTGGACAGTTGATATTTCTGCAGTTTGGAGTGTGAACATAATCTAGTTACGCAGTGATAATGCTACACTTTCGATCTCGATTTTTATTTAACACAGCTTGGTGAATGTCTGTGCATATTAACTGTTCGGGAACAACGAAATCACCTAAACAACGGCACAGGTGCAATGTGTTTAACACACACATTACACGCCGCATAGAACCAATCTCAAACACGAGACGATAACAAAAGATAGATTAAGTTTGTAAATAACATAAACAATAGTGTCCCATGATTTTTTTGGTACAATCCCTGGTCTTGGAAGGTTCTCCTTTATGTCCTTGCATTCAACAGAAGGTAAGCAATTATTTCAGTGGGCGTGGCAGAATGCATGGGCAGATTATTAAAGGGTGATAGTCATCGCGCCACGTATCATATAAACAAAGATAGTGATTTTGACTGAGTACAAACTGAGACGTTACCAATCTTTAATTAGGTATTTTTTAGGTGATTGGAAAGTATCGAAGGATTTACCGGCCGTAATTAGTGCTAGTCGCGTCCAGGTCAAACCTCATACTTGGGATTGAGCCTCGGAGGAAATACTTGCAAAAAATACTGACAGGGGTGTGTAGTTGGTTGTTTGAAACCCCTACCCCTTATCAGACAGAAATAAACTCAAATTGCCTACCCTTTTGCAGACAAACTGTGGATATTGGACACCCCTTTCCAGACAGTAAGCATAAATCTTACCAAGGGAAAAGCAGCTAGGCTTGAATTTTCCTGATTGTTGGATCACTCAAGCTCTAGAGACAGTTTTTGGAAAAAATGGACCCCTTTTCAGACAGAAATAATGAAAAAAGTGATACTCCTTTTCAGACACGCAGGGTAAAATAACATACCCCTTTTCAGACAGAAGTGGTGAATTTGAGACCCCTTTTGGTGGCACACACACATATAGCACTTCAATGGGGGGGGGGGTGAGCGCATTAGTTTGTGAGAAAATCAATGTTTATCAACACAAATGTCGCACATGCGCGGCGCGACAACCACCGCCCTTCAATATGTATCAAATGTGTTTACAGAAAGCTTTGTGTCCAAATCCCATATTTTTTTTCCCTCACATTCCTAATTTCACATGTTCCTAGTTATTTTTGAATCTAGCCTAGGGATTCTTATCACAAACAATCGTGGCATGTCCATAATAATATTGAACGTATTGACTTACCCGCGTGTCATATGACCACTGAAAGTTAGGGTTGTTTTTTTGTTCTTCTTTATAGGCACAGTTTCGTTCTGTCACCCTGTTGTCATATTCATTGGCGTACAAGCATAAATAGTCGTGTTGCAGGTTGCTCTGCTTGGTATACATCAATACCTGTAAAAGTAAAGCGTACGCTTGAATAATAATTTAAATCATAAACACAGAAAAGCGATCTAAAGTCGGGGGTATCGTTCTGTTTGTATTAAAAATAGCGATTAGATATACATGTGCGGAATAGCACACACACTTTCTAGGGGGCGCTGTTTGACATATATATTCACCTCATCAAAGTGTCCGCCGCAAGGTTGTATGGCAGGTGTATTGCCATCCTTTCTGGACATTTCTAAACACTCCCCACTTTCAACATGTTTAATCTACAAACGAGAAAAAGTATACTAAATAGGCTGACCAGGTTTCTATGACAACCGGGGACATCGGCATAAAAAAACAAGTCACAAATTCATCGCGATGTAAGAATCAAGTTCCAATAATCGGTGATCCATTTCTATTCAGCAACCCAGTGCTTGATGAAAACATACGATTATTAAGCTGCAATGTTATAAAACAAACAAACAAAAGACATGTCGAACATGAAGTAATCATAAAATGTTATTCAGTGCTTGAGCAGGATCTAAATGATGTCATTTTATAGTGAGTTGTCGTGAACTCTGAGAATGTTATCAACACAATGATCTCATAAATATTCACAATGACGAAAATTCAAATCAAAATTGCAAGTACTGAGTTTAATATTACATGATAAATACACTCTGGTGGCCATTTTGAATTTAAAACAAATCAAAATACACACAATTTCACGTTGATATTTCATAATTAGTTCGGATATAATTTGTTTGTCAGAATTCAAAAGTTCGGAGCTGCCATGGAACAACTTGAACATTTTAGAAAACGCTGCGGTATGCACCTATCAAACAAACAAACAAAGTTAGACTACTCACGTGACCCAATATCTGATATTGCATGGGCATTGTGTTTTCAGGGTAGATATTTTCCAAATACCATTTAAAATCCTTGCATTTTAAATTACTTCTCAACTGTTTCCGCTCCGACGTATCACCAAATTCTTGCTCTGCATAATGCGGTAAAATCGCCAAGAAGAAATATTTTAGATCGTCCATCCAGACATCCATTAAACGCATGTTGTTCTTCGCAATGGTTAGGCCTGGATTTTTGTTGTCTTTATATTTATATGGGATGCTACTTCTGAAAACGTGGCCAACGTGTGAACATGGTACGATTTCGAGTGTTCCGCCACACTGCCATACCTGCAAAATAAGACAAGTATTCATAGACGTTTTTTTCGTAATACCATTTATTCTACAATGTGGATATTTTGTTGACACTGTTTTGTGTTTTACATTCAAAATAGATAAAGATATTTAAAAAAGATATTATTACTTCAATGCAATGCTGAACTATGCCAATGTGCTTGCACGTTAGATAAAGGGTGCGTACCATTAATTAAACGCGCATGCGCCTATGCGTAACAAATTTTATGTAATGTGCGACGTTTGTTTTTCGCATGACAGTAGTCAATAAATTTCACTGAAAGTGTGTACTTACCCTGAACGAAAGTTCCAAGTTTTCGGCGCCCCAAGTATCAAACCCTGGATCGTAGAGACCAATTCGGTGAAAGTAGTCGGCGTCGATAGCAAATAGGCCGCCCGCTATCGTCGGAGTCCTGTAATTTAAATTGATGATGTACAATTTTTAAACTGGATTTATTGCGTGGTCCCAATAAAAATGTAAAATAATATTATCTCAGATTGGTCCCAAAATTATATTATCCCTGAGTTGTCACAAGAACGAAGGAGATAATATTATTCCTGAGTGGCCCCGAGATCAGAAAAGATAATATTATCCCTGAGTGGTCCCAAGAAATAAAAACATTATATTATCCCTGAGTGGTCCTAATAACAAGAGAGATATATTATTGTCCAAAAAACGAATGAGATAGTATTATTGCTCGGTAGTCCCAAAAACAACAATATCGTAACGTAGTTATGCAGTGATTTTTAAAATGTTGGTGATTTTTAAAATGTTGGTAATTTTTGAACAAATTTTGCTGTTTTGATTTTGAGTTGGTGGAGTGAAGTATCCATTGACAAAATAATTGCATGTTGTTAGAAAGTACTGTTTCAAATTAATTAGATATAGTTAGTGCGTTTTGGGGCAAAGCAGTCGTTGTTTATACCAGCGTTAGAATTAATATATGGACTGTAACAGAACTCAGGCACATAGAAATATATTAATAGGTTCACATGAGCGTCATGTTGTTTTTTATCTGTAAGTGTTGATCAATAAAAGGTATTGCATATTTTGAAATGACAAAGACCTATACTACCGATCAGAGTTGTCTGCACTAATTATTGGAAAGGTGTAACTTCAGCCTCTGACCAATGGAGAAAGTTGAAGTGACTACATTCCCTGAAAACTGATCGCTCACCTGAGTGGTCGGGACATGTCGTTGTTCACACGAAGACGTTCTCGTTTCGGCAAACTGTACCATTTGAAGTCCACCAACCAACCAAATCCACCAATCATCGTCTGCTCGGGTTTTATAAAAGTATACCCGAACGTCTTATCACTGATAACGTCGAGGTTTGGTGCCACCACCGTTGTTCTTTAAACAAAAACAATATTTAAATATTATAGTTCGAGTTACAATAAAATCAAAATTTTGCCTAACGATTATTTTATACGAACTGCGGTTAATAGTGCATTCACCCTATCGACACACTCAAAGTACAATTTCTTGATTTAGTTATTGGTATCAGCGAAATTCAAAAATAAATTGTATGCATGGCGCGAGTGTTGTGATCATTGTACTCCATATTTTGTATAGTAAAAACTATACTATAGTTGACAGATAATAGCTTTCACCTGTCGTTAACAATTTCTGATAAGAGCGGCTCTAACCATCCGATGTTACACTCGCAATGGGAGTCTAAGAATGTCAATACTTCACCCCTGGCTTCTTCAACTCCTCTGAGTCGTCCTTGTATCAAACCAACTCGCTTTCCAGTACGGATGACACGGGTAATAACTGGTAGCTTAGCAACATACTCATCCAACTCACTTTGTAACCAATCTATTAAATTACAAAACAAATTCACTTACTAATGTGTGGGGAGTGAGCAGACAGTGCGAGGAAGAATCGGGCGTCGTCGTGTCTGTTTACACTATTCAATTTCGTAATATTGTTCAAGCATTTGGTCTCGTCTACATGTAAATCGATCTAGTATTTCGTTTTGCAATGCGTATCGATTTAGGCACTTGAATTCAGTTACACTTACTTCAAAGCGCGTACACGACTACTGTTAATTATAGAATTGTTCGGACTACCGCGACATTGCTGTAAATCAAATCTGATATTATATATATATTTACAATAAATGTCTGCGGGTAGTCAGGCAATCTTGGTTTGATGAATAGCCGAGTTTATGGTTGTCTGGATGCTAGGCAACTATGCACGCGACTGTATATGCTTCTGGTCACCAAAATTAAAAGTTGTTTGACGTAACGTATGACAACATTGCCCGGTGCGATCAACCGGAGCGATGTGTACCACCGCAATATATAATGCGCCGATTGGATTTGAAATCTTCGATGTAAACATGCTTTCCCACGAGTGATGAGGCGATGATGAATAAATGTCCCTTGGCTGGCGAAGTTGCTGGTGAGCCCCCCCCCCCCCCGTATTGTTTGCAATCTCGTTGGGAGAGCACCACAAAGTATGAACATCGCCATTATCCAGACTGCGCATGAGCAGTAACAGTGCAACCAGATAACTCGAATGTCGTCTATTGAAAAGCTAGCACATTGTGTCTCTGATTAAACTATGATAGAATTTTCTACATTTTTTAAAATTCAGAATGTATATGTTTGTTAATTTGAATAATCTATTTATGATAGGATATTAACCGAAGTGATTTTAATATTTAGCAATATTTAAGAATGTTGAGTTGTGTTTATAAATCACCTAGACAGCTGGACGACCAGCAATCAATTCCCATCTATTCGCATGTTAGTGTTATAATTATTCATCAAGATATATCGCCATGTGTTCCATATATTATACCAAACAGGTAATATGAGGTAAGGGATTAAAACATCAAACTCGTAATTTTCTTCTTGATATAATCCGTTTCGGATTAAATTATTTGTACTATAATACACGGCACGTGCACGTGCCGAAAAAAAAACTCGATCACGGTCCCAATAAAGAGTCGGGTCCGAAACTTGGCACGTGCCGAGATTTGCTGTCTGAACGCTCGACACGAACCGAAATCACGCCCTCAGTGGAAACATATACTAGTATGACATGGCAATATAGGGAATCGCAGGTCGGATGCCGTACTAATGAATGAAATGAATGCAGTACGTTGTCACATCGGCGTGAACAAATAACTGCTCTTCGAATTCTTCTTCGCAATGACTCATAATAAATAGCATAATCGCAAATGAACACGTTTTCATTATTATCATCATATGCGTATTAGTCTGGAAGCTACTTCCCAAAAGCCTTCTAAAAACGGTTTTAGCTGCACCCCACGTCAAACATTGTGGAAACAGACTTTTCTTATGCAAAATTATCTGACATTGTAAAAAATGCCTGTTTCCAGGGCGGAAAATGCCCTAAAAGTGGTGAAAATTGACATGTTGCTATGGCAACCTGAAAATATTATGAAATCATTAAAAGATCTATATTTTCAATACATAAGAAGATATAGGAGTAAAGTTGGTACCAAAATGTAGATCGTGGATTGGTCCAATTATTTATGATATCATATATGATAATTATCTATTTTGCATATTCATAAT